CTGCCTCGGTAGTGAACTCCATGGTGTCTGTAACCAGAGTGGGCTCAGTAGAACCTTGAACCAGCAGGTCAGCTGGAGTGGATCCATAACCACTGGTGCTCTCTGGGATTGGACTTGCCTCCAGCTCCTCCACTCCGTTGTTGGAAAAGTCGTCAACAGGAGAGATTTTGCTGTTCATACCTAGAACAGTGTGACCACGGTGAGAAGAGCTCTGCACGCTCATGAAGCTTCACTGGTGAAGAGCTTTGTTACGTTTCTACTCAAAACTCACCAAGTTCATCCGTTGGGCTTTCTGTTGGACCGTCCAGAGGAACCACGTAGTCATCTGTGGGCGAAAAAGGCAAAATTACATAACATAAATGTTCCTAATTGGTCGTGTAGCACAGATGCAGTAATCACAACTATTTAGTTTTTCCTGCATTCGACAGAAATGTCCTGGCACTTCTTCCCCTGATTAAAGATCCAAAAGTATTTCCACCCATTAAACGGTTCAAAGAAAACTACAGAATCTTTTTTTTTAAAACCTCAAAGAAAAACGTTCTGTCAACCTTTCTGGCTTAATTTGGTGCTTTCCTCTCTGAGCCTGTGCCCAGCGCTCCTACACCCTCTCATCACAACACTGCTTCCTTGTGTTTCCTTTGGCCCGTGACACTGATGCTCTTGGCTTGTTCTGTTGAGACTTGGCCCCTGAAGCCAACCACCGTGACGGAGCCACAGTGTGGCAGCCGACCATGAACATCCTTCTGCAGTCCTCCTAACGTATGCTTTATGAGACGCACTGATTCAGCTCAATAGTCGTTTAAGTAATCAAGTGATCGAAAACATTCGGGGGACGTTTGAATAGCGCTGTTGGGATCAAGTGTAACAGTTCTGTGTAAGTACATTTATATATAAGTGTGTGTGTGTGTGTGTGTGTGTGTGTGTGTGTGTGTGTGTGTGTGTGTGTGTGTGCATTTCCAAAAGCATATATTCACCTGCATCATTTCCTTCGCTGAATGTAGACGGCTGATCCACTGCATCAACAACTGTGTCTGTGGGAATATCAATGAACATACATCAGCAGGGTGACCTTGTAAACAGCAGCTTGCTGTAAATCCCAAATGACTGAAAATGTAATAGAAAAAAAAACCTTTTGCCAAGAAAAATATACCTTTAGGTTTGTTATCATTTACATTATTGCATGAATTTGTCTTCCCCGGTGCTGTTGCACTGGATGCTCCCATGATTTGGTCTGTGGTAATTACCAAGACAGAACATATTGTCAAACTTAACCCAATGCATCGGTGCAGGTTACTGCATGCTGCTGGTGCACTGCTGGACATGCTGCTGTGCATGCTGGTGCTGGACATGCAGGCCGTCTCACAGGGACTAGCTTGATGTGTCAGACTGATCCTGGAATCTCTCACCTTTCATGCACAGCGCATAAAGTGTACGGCACAATCTCAAATCGCCAGAGTTATAATTGTTGCATGAGCTGAGAGAGATGATTTTAACATGCTGCCACAAATACCACATCATCTAGTACAAATCAAATAACCTCCAGACATCATACACAACATCTGAGATGTATGACTGCTTTTATAATGAGCATGAAACTGTGAAGGACCTCTGCAGTGGTTAACATGCAGAAACACACAACAGAGCTGAATGTGTCGGTTACCTTCTGCGTCACAGTGGAGTTTGAAATCTGGACAACACTGCTTGTACTTCACACAATCAGGGTCGCAGCTGCACAGCCGGCCTCTTTTAAAAGCTTCTCCACATCGCCCGAGACAGGAGTTTTCTGTTGCACACAAACACAGCAGGCTTCAGTACAAGAGACACACACAGTGGTGCCGAATGTATCTGACAAACTGAATCATCAAGCAGCGTTTATAAGATATATTCAGACCACGTATGAAATGTTGCTCCCAGCAAGGATAGAAATCATACACTGGCTTGAAAACTGCATTTAAATTGTGCACAAAATTGCATTTGGCAAGTTTCTAGGGAAGAAAGCAGAGAAAAAGTCTCACTTGTGGTGCACTGAGATTCAAAATCGCTGCAGCACTCCCCATAAGCCAGACAGGTGAAGTCACACTGGCACATGTAGCCCCTGTAGTACTCAGCACCACAGCGACCTTTGCAGCTCGCTGTTATGAGGGGCATAAAAAGGAAAAAACATCGTCAGAAAAGTACACAAAGTACAAAAATAAGATCCCATTTGCCCCAGTAACAGGTCTGCTTGAGGACACAGTCGACACAAAAGTGCCAAAAATTGATTTCTGACGTAGTGAGAAAAACACAGTGCAGCCTTCGGTTTCCTCTCTAGTAAATAATTATTAACAGAGTAAACATGAGCGAGTACAAACACAGAAAACATATACGACATTCCAGGAAAAACCTTTTACAAAAATACATTTCTGGCACAGAGTGTTAAAGAATGAAACTAAGTTAAATGGTTCTCTATTCAGTACTAATGTAAATTATACTTACTCTGACTGGAACTGAATTTCAAAGCACACGCCAGCAGAACAACAGCATAAAACAGTGTGGAAGACATCCTCCTGTACATCTGAAACACACACACATAAACAATAAATACATTTTCCATTATGACTGATTCTATGTTCACACAGACAGTCTTGATCTGTAGCAGCAGAAGACCAGTTGTGACCCACCTTGCTCGAGCCTCCGTCTGAACACTGCTGATGCTTTGACTCAGGCTGCTTTTTAAAGGCTCACAGAGTCCGGTCCACCTCCTGTTAATTGGCGTATCCGGTCTAATTAAAAGTGTGATGATCTCACAGGCTGCAGGGAGGGTCCTCCAGTCCAGACCACAGGTCCAGACATCACGATTCCCCACAAACAGCTGGAAGCACATCAACACACACATCTGTGCCAGACAGACGGCTGACTTTACACGCTTCCGAGGAAAAGAAAAAAGAAAAAAAAAATCAGTGGTTGGGACTTGCTGCTTAGTCACAAGTGCGAGAACTGGACGCTGACATCATGCCAGACTTTGGAGGTTTGTTAGATCAATACCATGTGGACGGTCAAACAACTTCTTTTTCCTTTTTAACATGTGATTGTTTATTTGGATCCCTGTTGGTTGCTGTATTGGCAACAGCTACTCTTTCTAGAGGTCATTTTAAAATAACATAACAATGTGTTTGCATTTATATTGTCTACAGCAAACAATAGATTTATACCTTTTTTTAAATTAAGCTATTAATAAATGATAGCTTGGGGATAAAACTGTTATTGTATATTTTACATGTCAACAATTTCATTTTGGATTATTTAAATATTTATCTTTAACATCTACTGGTCTACAGCTGAACTTTTTTTTTTCAAAGTTATTTTTGGCCTTTTTGCCTTTATTGTATAGGACAGTGAAGAGAGAGACAGGAAAGTGGGTGAAGGACCTGCAGCAAAGGGCCACAAGCGGGATTCAAACCCATAGCCGCTGCATCAGGGACAATAACCTCTGTACATGGGTCACCAGCTCAACCAGGTGAGCTATAGCGGCATACAGCTATGAATTCTGTCTACTCCAATAAAATACTGACCAAAAAAAGCAAAATGTAAAATGTTACTTCATCAGTCTGCAGAAAGTGTCTTTAAACTGTTAAATAAAGGTTTTGAAGTTGTGTTTTATCTTGAAGTCCCTCTAGAGTCACCGATCAAACCTCTAAAAGTCCTGTCTGTGGATCAGGGTTACATATGTGAACGTTTTTCGAAGTAAATATTTCCATCCTGCCCCAAAGTGACTTGGATGTAATTCTTTACACCATGGTTGTCAAACTCAAATACGCAGTGGGCAGAAATAAAATACTCGATATTTATTTAAAAGATTGACTACAGTTGTACATGTTTTCTTTCTCTGCACATATATAATGACAAACTTTTTCATCTGGAAATAAACTTAAGTTTTGCTTAAACATTGAATCTGGAACAAGCAAAGCTTAATATTATGAACACATGAGAAATCAAATTTAAAATCAGAGACACATCAGCGGCATTCATTTCTTTGTTTTTTTTTATGGATAAAATAGCAACAATTTTTATGCCTCTCTTTGTTTGTTACCTTTTGAGTTAATTTTCAATGGAAACCTTTTTCCACAGGCCAACAACAAAACAATCAAATTAAAAGAAAAAGAAAAAGAAAAAAAAGTACTTAATGATAAAGAGAAAAAAAAATGTACTTAATTTTTTCCAAGGAAGGGACATTTGCGGGTCTTCATTGACATGCCAACACACCAGCAGAGCATTCTGGGATGTGTAGTATCAGCGGTGCTACATACCAGCTCTAACAGACATTTGAAATAATCTTGCGAGCCAAATATAATGACATTGTGGGCCAGATTTTTCCCGTCGGCCTGAGTTTGACACCTATGCTCTACGCCCTTGCCTTCTTTTAGATCAGATCTATGAAGTCCACCCATCCCTCTATCAGTCGCTGCAGCTCCAGCACTTCAGCTCACCTACGACTTTGCTTAACCGTTGTTAAACTGCTCAGAAACTAAATTTTACTACACGTGAAACCCCAAAAGTCTGAATCTGTGTTCTTGAGACTGTCATCAACACTCAGTGGATTTAAGGTGGAAATGCACAGACGTGACTTCTTGTTTCACTCGTGACCTGCCACCCGGCAAAAACAGCAGCTGGACATGTTATCGAGGTGTTTTCAGCAGGGCAGCTTTTTAAAGCTGTGATTATAACACACAAACAAGGATGAGAGAGTTCACTGGTCGGTCATTCTCTGAACCACTCAGAAGAAGCTGCAGCAGTTTCTGGACCAGCTCAGTGTGCTTCTTTTACATTCCTGTCAAGGTCTGAAAGGGGCAGAAAGATCCAGCAATTCACAAAAACAAGACAAAATGAAACCTATTCTACTGAGCATCCTGCTTCACTTGTTCCATCTCAGGACCCCTCAGACTTATCTTCTTGGAAGGGCCATTGTCTCCATGTTGGAAACAACAAGGTAGCTAGTAATCCTGATAATGACATTTTAGACAGCGTGTTTACATGCACTTAAGACTTTACAGCAGTCTATCAGGGTTTACTGCATTTGGCTGGGATTCCTTTCTGAGTTTATGGGATTACTGGGTGTTTTTCTCACTGCACAGGAACAGCAAACAGGATCCTTCTTAATATGCGAGACCGATTACTGTGTTGATGTATTTTAAAAATTTGGGGCTGGTCTGCATTGTGGGCGTTTTGTAGATGGGAGTGTTGATGGACCATATCATGCGTCTGGTATTTTCCCATCCTGTCATGGTCCAATTAGAGGAAAACTGCTCATTAGTGCACTTGTGTTAAGGCAGCAACAATAACAGGATCCGGCTGGGGTGACCAAACAGTCAGGTAAACACAGACGCTGAAGGAAAAACCCACACAGCACTTTCCCTACTAGAACATTATGAGCACAGAATGCATCATATTAATCTGAAAAAAAAAAACCCAGAGCAGGTCATTGCCACACTAAGAAGCTGAAAGTTCAGAAAGTAGAGTCAGCATGCCCCCTTGTGTTTACAAGTTTCGGTGCTGCCGTGCGATAGTCTGACATCCGGCAGCTCAGGAGAGAAGTGTTTCTGCAGCGCGTTGCAGAAAACGACCTAATTTAAGTTTGACAATTAAAAGTTTTGTGGTGTGGGAGCTGTCTTATCTCATCAGACGACTGCCTCTGGAGTCTCTGGAAACTATTCAGCCTGCTTTCCGGAGTAGAATAAGTTTTTGTGTTCAGAAAAATAAACCGCAGCGACATACAAGATACAGCAGCCTAAAAAAAAACAGAGAAACCGACTTGACTCACGTGAATAAATAGATGTTCTGTTTCTTTATTACGATGTGCCAAATACTCCAGTGGTGCAACTCTGAGCTGAGCTTTACTGCACGTCCAGCTGACTTCCTGTCAGTTTGTGTCAATCCCACGTGAGTCTTTTTCTCACTAAATAAAAGAAATCATGTCACATATACAGAGGCTACAAGGTGCTGCAGTTGGTAGCACTGTTGCCTCGCAGCTAGAAGGTCGCGTCCCAGTGAAGAACACCCGGGATCTTTCTGCGTGGAGTCTCCATGTTCTCCCCGTGCAGCGTGGGTTCTCTCCGGGTTCTCCGGCTTCCTCCCACAGTCCAGAAACATACTGAGGTTAATTGGTGATTGTAAATTGTCCGTAGGTGTGAATGTGAGTGTGCTTGGTTGTCTGTCTCTAAGTGTAGCCCTGTGATAGACTGGTTACCTGTCCAGGTGAACCTGCCTTCACCCTGAGTCAGCTGGGATAGACTCCAGCCCCCCATGACCCTGGTGAGGATTAAGCGATGTATAGATAATGGATGGATGGATTTACAGTTTACAAAATGTATAAACTGGACGCTCAAGCAAGCTTACAAGATAAAACCCATTCAGTCAGTAAGAATATCTGAAGTCTTGACAACTACACAAAGAACTAAAGAATTCTTTTTTGATCTTAAAGCTATTTTCACTGTTTTTTACAAAAAGTTTGATGATGCGACTTCCTCTCTATCATTTCATCCTGACAGTTCACAGACCTGTTCAGCTCCCATCGAGCCCACAGAGAGGCAGACACCGGGCACCGAGGGACGCCCAGCAAAAGGCAGCAATATGACCGAGAGCAGGCATAAAGTGCTTATTACCACAGATGGATGTGCCACACTCTGGATCTCCTGGGGAGATTATAGGACCGCTGAGGGGGGAAGTAAGCTTGTTTTCCTGGATCCAAAACTGTGTCTGTGCCTTGTGAGCGGTGGAGGCCATCTTCTGTATTGGCAGCTTTAATCAGCCAGTCTGCTCGAGCAGGAGTTAAGCTGATTTGAAAGAGGCCGATGAGAGGCACAAGCAAGGGGACGCACAGGAGGAGAGGTGATGGAGAGCATGTGGATGCACACAGGAGATAATTTTCGGTCTTGTTGAAAGAAAGACTGACAATAGCGGCTCGGCAACTTTCTGGCTCTGTGCGAAAAAAAAAAAAGAACACACTGAAGTTGAGTTCAAAGCAGGAAACAACACAACAACCTCGCTCTGCTGTAATCAGACAACAGCCTCAGCACTTTGTCTGATAAGCCTCCATGCTTTATTTCAGTTTGATTTCCTTTTACACTGAAATAAATCTGCACAACACAGGCTTCGTTAGGCAGCTGGAAGAGGATCAGACAGCTGAGATGACCGAACCAGCGACAGCCCTTCGTGTTGCATCTGCAAACTGAAATTGTGAAAACGCCTGTCGAAACCTTTTTGTTTGCAATGTATTGATATGATGAATGAGGACATGATCAGAAAGAACCTTTAGAGGGAGACAAATGAGAGCATATCGGCTGGTGTCACAAGCAACCCTCGAGCGGGATAAAAATAGGCACATCAACAGGTGGCAGGGACTGATGATACATAATTAAATTCAGCCGCTCATTTCATTTTATTTGGGAGATTTTTACTGTGGATTAAAGGCTCAAACAATTATCCCCCCCTTTCATTTGTGTTTGCAGATGGAAGTAAGGGACGCTGCCAATCACACTGTTGACAAAAACAGGTTTTTGTATAATCACACAGCTTGTATGTCGTCCTCCAGTTTGTTATCTCACAGTCAACACGGGGATAAGAGAAATCTGGTTTTGGTCTTGTGACAAATCGAACCGTCAGATATCTTGAAAACGTCTTGCTTCGTGACTTTTCCGTCGAATGTTCTCTTCATGGCTGCGGCTCGACTTAAGCCTGAAGGTGGAAGTGGTGATAATCTAATCTAAACTACAGCGCAGGGAATATGCGCTAATTATAACTCCAGCTACACACTGTCTTTGACATTATGTTCTCCTGCAGCCTACTGATTTCAATATTGCATCTTTAAACATCAGATCGGGCGTCAACACCTCCAGCCGAGGACTCTGACTGCTGTCTCTGATGTGTAACAGCGCCTGAAAGGACAAGTGAAGGTGCACAGCGGTGAGTCAGAGCAGCAGGTATCAACCAAAACATCAGCTGCAGGTATTTTTGTACATTTCAAATGTCATCGGAAGTAGTGGCTGGCTGCAACCTCAATCTAAAAGAAGTGAATCTGGAAGTTTTGTCCATCACCAACCACGTTTTTAAATTCACTCCCTGGTTGTTGGTTGTGAAAACTAACACAACACAACATTCATCACTTTGCACAAGCGTCTGCTGTTTCATTCTTCTTCAAGTCACATAAAACACAACTGACTGGTTTCAGAGCTGTAATCCACTTAAATTTCAAAAGCAAAGCACTAAATGTTCTTCACAGTCAGTTCAGGAAATCAGCAGCTACGTGGTGATAATTAGATTTCATCGTTGTACGTTTCTCATCAATACATTCACTTATTGAATTACAGAACAGCACAGTGCAGACAGTGTCATGCCACCGAAATGATCTATAACCTCATCTGATTTTCACATGTAAGAGTCTGTATCTGCTTCATTATCTTCTGAGAACCTCCTCATGAGCACCGCATAACTCACTATTACTTTCAAATGAGCTGCTCCATATGTATGTTTCAGGCCTTATTGATGAACTGATGGAGAAGACAGCTTTACGTTCTCACAGCCTGCTGTCATCACCTCCTTCAGGCCTACTGTCACTATCTCAGCCATCTTCTCTGGCTGTCAGGAGGAGGTTGGTGTGGAGGTAAATATATTCCTGTCGCTCACCCCTTGAAATATATCCTGCTAGTGTGACAGCAGTAGCGTTCGAGCTGCACTCCTGTTACATGCACGTATCTGTTGATTTGCAGGATTAGACATCGAGGTTAAAGCTGTCATAAAATTAAACTTCAAAGATCATATCCCAAGATGATCTACTGACCTGCAAACCACCAAATCAGTGCTTTGCTAAGATGTGTAAAATTAGCACACAACACACTGCTTGTACTTAACTGCTTATTTCTACATTTATTTATAGTCAGAAAGGATCGTGTCTTTTTTTAGCCAGAAAAAGCCGGCGTTCCCTTTCAATCACACAAACCCTTAACTGTGCTACAACTAAGATCCGGTGACATTAGAAGATAAATGGAGCCTCCTTTCTTACTTATCCCACTGCACCCTGTGTGGGTTTTCACTGAAAGACAAGTTTATCCCAAAGACACAAAACAATTTAACAAAATGACTGTGTTCTGGCTCTAAACTGCACCTGTATGCATAAAGAAAGCACACATGCACAGCTTTCCTTGTTGATGACAAATAGTAAACACCTGTGAGACCCAAGGAGCCCAACAGTGTGGACTAGAAGTCAATATGATAGATGAGCACTGATTGAAGAGGACGACAATGAAGCTGTGTTTCTACTGTGTGTTTGCTTTTATCTCAGCAGAGCTCTCCTGACGCTGCACTTTGAGTCACTACAGCCTCCCTGATCCAGCACCATTATCTAAAAATCTTTATTTTAAAGTCTGGCGGTGATCTCGAAGGTTTTAAAGAGACGCATTTAGATGGAGCACAGCAGCATCACAAACATGAAACCTTGGCTTCAGTCAGGGTAAATGTTTTATTCGTTTATTGAAGCTAGATGTTTGACAAAAAGAAACTGTACACGTGTCATGTTCAGTGTAACCTGGCTGAGCTTTTAAGTTCAGGTTTAAATAACAAAACAACTCGATTAAACAGATACAGAATAAAAACAGCTATACATAAAAGGCGGTTTCTGTACATATGCATATACATGAACCTTTGTTTACTGTATGTATTGTCCATGAGTGTGTACGCATTAACATATCAATGCCAGTGTGTACACCGCACATACATGTAGGCTACGGATGCTGCGATGTAGCACTACTGACAATAACCACAATATTTTAAACATCTAGTATTGATATTAAGGTAATACACGTACCATAATTCATCCATCATCCATCATCTATACACCTTAATCCTCACTAGGGTCATGGGGGGCTGGAGTCTATCCCAGCTGACTCAGGGTGAAGGCAGGTTCACCTGGACAGGTAACCAGTCTATCACAGGGCTACACTTAGAGACAGACAACCAAGCACACTCACATTCACACCTACGGACAATTTACAATCACCAATTAACCTCAGCATGTTTCTGGACTGTGGGAGGAAGCCGGAGAACCCGGAGAGAACCCACGCTGCACGGGGAGAACATGGAGACTCCATGCAGAAACCGGAACCGGCAACCTTCTAGCTGCGAGGCAACGATGCTAACCACTGAGCCCACGTGCCATCATATCATACATAATTAAATAATATATAACATAAACACAGTAGGTGGTTTAATTTCACATTGTACTGATGGCAGATTTTAGGCCTTGTTGGTCTTCTGATTATCAATTCATCTGGTTGCCCCATCGTGATCCAATAATTACAGCTGTCCTTTTTTATGCTTTTGTACAGTTTCAGTCTCTTTCCTCACCTCTTTATACGAGTACTATGGATGGAATTTGTTTGCCAAAAAGAGCCAAAACACAATAAACAAATTAGAGATGCATTTGACCGATAGCATGAGCACGAGTTGCATTTCTTCCACATTTTTTATAACATGAGTTCCTTTGGCCACAGTAATTGTATGTTGAAAAACTGATATTGTGACGGCCCTAATGTAGGAATATATGTGACAGATGGAATTAAATGGATTTAAAATTCAATCATGAAGTAGCTTAAATAAGGAGCTGGAGCATGCTGAAAACAGAACATGTTAGGAGATGCTTTATTTAGCAAACCCAACAACATTTCATGATGCACAATACAATTTTGAGAAACCACAACAACATCTTGCGAAATGGAAATGGCAGTAAAATCTAAACCGACCTGGTATCTGTCCAGTGATTAAGAATCTCTGTCCCTACTTTGTTAGTTTGTGTTTTCGGTCACGTTATGGGATTGTTGTTGTGTTTTACACCTCAGGCTCACAGTAGAAACAGAATAAAAGTGCATGACAGTGCAGAGTAGGATGATTTTTTTTTTTTAATTTTAAAGGTTAAATTGGGCAGAAACTGTCAGCCACCAATACTAAACAAACAAAAATGAAAATACTCTTCAGATAAACTATAGTAAAAGAGGCCACAGAAGTTACCAGAAGACTAGTCTTTGTCTACCTTTTGTTATATTTTGTTCATTTTATTACGTTTCTCTATACTGAACTTTGGGGGGCGTTACCCGGGAAACATTCACCCAATGGGCTGCTAGTATCCACTCTTAGGCCCGCCTTTATGTGGTTGCTATGCCTACTCCGCGTTTCTCTCTGACTGACGGACCCAGTAGCCAATCAGCGTGCAGCAGGGTGGGAGTTTGCGCTCGCGCTGAGAGCTGCCTGCTGGATTTCTACTATAATGCTCGAGCCGCTGAGGGCGCGCGCTGGTGTCGGACCGAGGCTGCCCAAAGACCGAGGATGGAAAATGTTCTGTAGGCGCTGTGTGAGAACTCTGTCCAGGTAATTAACTGCTCCTTGTCTTTCCTGCCCCCTCTGTGACTCGGAGGACTGCGCTAGCGCCCGGCTGTGGGAGATACGGAGCTCCGGTGGACACGCTTGTTTGACATATGAACGGAGGGAAATGCGGCTAACGCTGGAGGCACAACTTAACAACTAAATGTACGGGCTGGAAATGCACCGTGTAGCCCACAATGTGAACTTTAGCTGTGGGTAGAGGAATTTAAAAACGAGCGTGATACACCGAGGTGTGTCCCGGTGTGTTGTTTAGTGACTGTTGGACTTCATGTGTCTGGTGGCTCCAGCTCAGAGGTTATTTCTGCGGTCTGATGCTGCTTCGCTGTCATTCTGGGCATAATGAGGATTTCTAGTCATCCAGTGGCCTGAAATGGAAATCACAGAATTTCACAGAACAAAAAAATAAAATGTTTTTCTTGCACTCCTTTGTGCTGAGGAATTTTACTAGAAAAGTTTATACCATTCTGTAAATCTGTGCTTTAGCCAACACAGGACTGGTGTTGATATTTAACATAAAAAAAAAAAAGACATGTAAGTCACTGTGACTAGGATAATCAGATGCTGGACAATAGAGCTGAGCTGACAAGCTAAACTCACCTGATGATAACATCAGCTACACACAGGTAATGGTCAGGCTCACTTAGATATTAGAAAACCCTTCAGCAAACCCACAAACTGCATCAGAACCAGTCCTGCTTTCGCTGCTGGACGTCACCGCTCAGAGACACATTATGGGGTTTCTAGGTTAGCTGGAGTGAGAGCTGTTCATCACTGCAGATGTTGACTGGCCTGTGCTACACGTCCTGCGTTAACTCTTCCAGGTGTGGCAGGTATTTGTTGGAAAACCTGACCAGGAGACGAGCCTGTGGGTGCAAACAAGATGACTAAGAACAAACTGTTCAACACTTTCAGCTGTAATCTGACGTTCCAGTTCGATGCTGTCTTGAACTGTTGCTGTATTAACTGGCAGTGCAGGATAGAGCTGAACAACTCATTGATTAGGAATCGACTTTGTGCATCTTACTCGAGGTTTAACCTGCTGTGTCAATAGTTGGACAAATTCACGCCGTCCTCTACGTGTGATGGTCACGCTTTTCATCGCATTTCATGTGGTGATGCTCCGGCACGTGTTTTAATCTATTACACAGTGAACTAAAGCTTGAGTTAAAAAGAAATTAAACCGCAAATCAAATTACAATTGTGATGCAGGATCAAGGTTCTCCTTTACTAGCTTGGCCGTTTTTGTTTTATAACTTGAAAGACAAAATCTCTGCTCCAAAATATGAATTGTTCTGTAAATTCAAAGGAAGGAGCCTCAAACAAGCCTATTAATCAGATTAGCATTGAGCCACAACCTAAACTGTTATCAGATGGGAGCAATGGTAGAAAACACTAGAAAATAAAAACATTCTCATATTTCAATTGTGGTTTCTAAAATATTAGATTTTTAGTTATGAATGTGAATACAGGGGGTTTCATGTTGGCCTGCTGCTCTGTGACCACAGCGTTTGAATCTACAAACCTCTTTCTCTCTCCACGTTTCCTGTCACTTTCTACTTTACTCTGTCAAACACAGACAGAACAGGATGAAATCATCTTTGACAAACATTCAGATTGTCTGTTGTGTGTTAGTTTACAGGACAGTAAATCTACAGAAGTCAAAGCCACACACTTGTTTAAGCAACCTCTGGGTTTGATGGTTTCACTGCATCACTTTCCTGACAGCACGAGTCAACCACTGTCTGGTTGCACCAAAGAAACCAGTCTGGAATTCCCCTCTGAGATGTTCGGTTTTTCACTCTGACATTTGACTTAGTATGCAAACAGCTATAACTTAAGCCGCAGGGTTTGCATCTTCAGCCTGTAGCACAGCTGTCTTCTGGTGCTGCAATGGTCCGTCTGCTGGTTTTGTTTTTCTCTCTCTGTTTCTGAAAGCAAATGGCAGGAGTTGAGAATAGTGCTCTCCCTCGAGCCTCGACTTCAACAGGAGATATTCCCTCCTCAGTGCTGAGAAACTGAGTGGGATGGAGAGAAACGAGTTAAAAGACTGGGTTTACTATCATTTATCTGTTTGTCAGGAGCAACAGTTGTCTTTTTTTTCCTCCTCTCCTCAGTTTACAGACACAATCTTGACATTTGATGGCTGTTTATTCTGTTCATCCTCTGACCAAGGACAACCTGTACGTCCACGTTGACCAGCACTGTGTGACGTGTTTACTGTGCCAAGGGTTTTTTTAATTAAATTGGCGGTTTTGACATCAAAACAAAAGAGTTTTTAAAGATGTTGAGAACCTGGTGTTAACCTCTGGATAGGGTTTGGCTTTAATTTTGCAGCAGTGATTCGTTGATTGATCGATAGCTGCAAACAGTAAGTGTTCAAAAATGTGATTTTGCAAACACAAATGACAGAAATTCTGCTTTTTCTTGTTTTATGTGGTAGTTAGCTCAGTGTCATTGGGTTAAATGAACCACTTCTGTGCTTTCTGAGAAGTTTGGCTGGCCGTTTGTCACTAGGCGTGTTTCTGTGGGTGATGATGGATAGAAAGCTGATAATTGGTTGAACCCAGTCGTGACATTTTTGTTTTCATCTCAGTGAAACGATGACATTCTTCTATTTTGCGAGATGTTGGCAGTGTCATAACACACTTGTTGAAAAACCAAAAGCAAGGACGCCTGTGAATCGCTCCAGCTGAGATACGTACCTGGTTATTTATGCAGCCACAGACGGTGAGGAGGCTGGCCACCTGAGAAGGCCATCGCCCAAACCTCTGGTGACATCCTCAAGCTTTTGCTGACTGGCGGTTTTCCTCACAGCTTCGCAGCACACAGCCAGCTACTAAACCACAAGCACTCCTGTAAAGCCTGGTTTTTACCCCTTGCTTGCAGAAAGGAGGGCGATGAGAGGAGCAGGTGAATAAGAAAAGCCCCCTGTTTTGCATTTAGATTTGAAAGGGCTAGATGTCTGTGCTGAGCCGACGCTTTATGACAACAACCTGCTGAACGGTCCTGTTGCTTGACGACTGAACGCTCATGTGCACGCAGCTGCAGCCATGCATATCTGATCAGCCGGGCTCCTCAGCATCCCTCACGACTCCTCTTTCTCTTTCTTTGACCCATAAAGATCTTATTACTATTACTTATTGTGATCCTGCCTTCCTCCTTCCCTATTGGCTCTCGTACAACACGTTGCAGGGTGCCCATGACAGATATTAATTATACATGTGTAGCCTGTCATGTGGGCCAGAGTGCTGCAAGGCCTCCCCTCGTCTCTGCCAAGCAGGGCAAGACCCAGAGGCAGGAAATGTGAGGCAGGAAACAGTAAAGCTGACCTGTTGCGTAATGAAAACATAAACAGAAGTCGTTCAAGTCAGAGCTCCTGATCTACAATGCAGTCCATATTAGCATTATGAGATATACATGGAGTGGAGTTAGAAGTTTAGACGGAACAGGTGACGACCTGCTGGGAAATCTTGTAAAAGCACAAAACCGTGACCTGTGCCTGAGGTTGTGAATGAGTCCAGCCAAGGTCCTCTGGTAGCAGATGGGAGGATCCTGGGGCAGGATGATGGAGTGGGCTCGCCCCTCCGGCTCTGGTCCTGGGTCTGTTTCTGGGTTACATTTCATGCTGTGCTCAGTAGGACAGCGTGATAAGGAGAAGGGAATTATAAAGAATATTATATTACTGGTTTACCTAACAGCCGCATGGAGGGTGATTTCAATTTGAGATTATTTTAATTACCTCAGAGTTGAACCAAAATCAGCCACGAGGAGCGAAACCTCTAATTAAACGACAGGCTGCATGTTAATTTAAAGTTGGACTCGGGAATGATCTTCATAATCTCTTGCTGTAAAATGCATTTAAAATGTTGTTTTATCTTTTTCCTATTTATTTTTCACGTAGCAGATATCAGATAACTACAGCTCAGGCAATTTGTTAATTAATCAAAGTGCAGGAAAATTTTCTACTTCAATTCCTAATCATAGGTTTATGAAGTAATTTATTAAGTCTAATAAATCGAGTATGTGTTGGTTTTGGACTGTTGGTCCAACAAAACAAAAATAAATTAAACAGCTTGTTCTTTAGATAACAAGATGGAACAATTAGGCAGGAATCATGAATTAAACTTAACCTGACAAGTCGTTGGAGCTAAAATGTCACATTTTAACATTTGCTTCTCAAATGGGATAATTGTAGAGAGACCATCATGATGGCTCTCACTCACATTTACAGTCAATGTAGAATCACCAGTTGGCTTCAGCACATCTGTGGACTGTGAGAGGAAGCTGGAGAACCCGGTAGGAACAGGCAGAACACGCACACTCCACTTTTCTTTGGGTTAAAGACTGTAATCGTTTCCGACGTCCAGCTAGACTAGAGTTGTGACCTTTGGCATCGGGTTATAGTGATGAGCACTTTGTAGATTTTCTAAACTAAATCAATTATTGATAGTTTAAAATAATCATTTAAAAAACTGA